GCTGTAATAAAAATAGTAGTCGTAAGCCTCTTGCTTTAAGTGCTAAGTTAGAGGATGATGGTGTGCCATTCTGATTTTATTCAATAAACACCCTGCCACTCACCTCTCACACATTAATATTAATATTTTAAGGTAAGTAATAAGTGTACTCTGTGTGTATCTTACCTTTTATTGTGTTTTTAATGCCTATTTCTATTGCTAACTTAATATAAGTTACTGTAAACTTGTTGTCTGGCATTTATTGCATATTTTATGTGCTCTGATAATAATACTTGTGGAGCTGTGTGGTAGCCGGGTGGAGGGACAACATTACGTTTTCTCTGCTCAGCTATCAGAGAAAACGTGTATGAATCTGCGTTTGGCCCAGCAACTCCCTCACTCCACTTTTGTTTACAATTTTCAGCTAGAATTTATGAGTATATATACGTCAAACACGGTACAGTGGAACCTCAAAAATTGAACGTATCACATATCGAACGTTTCGAAAATAGGACCATTTTTTCGGACAAACTGTGTCCCTATTATCAAACGCGCCCCTATTTTCGGACCACCGGGTACGGGACCTGTCTGCCGCCCACATCCCCGCGCAGGCGCCGTGAGCAGTCTAGCTTTGTTTATGCTTGAGTGAACACTAACCTGTGCTCTCATTCACGCATTTTACGATTATTTCATTGTGTTTAGTGCTTGTGGGACTGTGAAATAAGGTCCCATGGGCCCAAAGAAACTTGCTAGTGGTACCCCTGTGGTAAAGAAAGTGAGAAACACCATAGATGTGAAGAAGGAAATAATACAGAAGTATGAGAGTGGTGCGAGACTTGCTGAGCTTGCCAGAATGTAAGGGAAAAACAAGTCGACCATCAGTTCTATCCTGTCAAAGAAAGAATAAATCAAGGAAGCTGATGTTGTGAAAGGTGTTAATATAGGGAGTGGATGAGGTGCCTTCTTCAAAGATTAAGGAGATTGTGCCAAGTGGAATGATGTCCAATTGTTTGTGCAGAAGTACCACCCTGAGCAAGCTGAAACAAGCCATCTTTGCAACAAGTTCAGTGAAAGAACCATGTCCCATTTTAGGGAAATGTTAAAGAGGTGCCAGAAACAGAGGACTGTGGACACTTATTTTGTGAGACAGGGGTCCAGTGACTCTCAAGCTGGTCCTAGTGGCATTAAAAGACAGAGAAGGGAAGTAACCCCAGAGAGGGCTTTACCTGAAGTCCTCATGGAGGGGGATTCTCCTTCCAAACACTAACCCCAACTCCCTCTCTCCTCCCTATCTTCCAGATGCCATCACCAATCTTCAATAAAGGTAAGTAAAAATGTTATTTTATATGTATTACTATACATAATTAAAAACTATAGTACGTTGTATGTACAACTGTAATTAATCTCTATAAAATGTATTTTTTGTGTGAATATTTTTGGGTTTCTAGAATGGATTAATTGTATTTCCATTATTTCTTATGGGAAATATTGCTTTGAATTTCAGACTTCTCGAATTTAGAACTAGCTCCTGGAACGGATTAAGTTCGATTTTTGAGGTTTCACTGTACCTCGTAAGACGTATATAGTATATGACCAAAACAGTCAAAGGGTTAAAGCAGACAGTGAGTTAACTCAAGTTAAAATCTGGGGATATTACATTGGGACAACTTGAAGGTATTGTGTATTTAACCTATATTACTGGAATATAATACCGAGCGTTGGTGAAAGTTTACAACATGAGAATGCTACAATATGGTGTAAGGCAGTATAGTTTTGTGCAGGTATTTATACTACAATGTAATATTAACCCTTTCAGGGTCAGTCCCGTAGATCTACGGCTTTACGTTCAGGGTCCAAACCGTAGATCTACGCCATGAGCTCAGCTCACTCTGATAAACTGTGAGTGGTACATTTGGGCCTAGATATGAGAGAATACATCTATGTGGTATGTGTGCACCACATAAAACAGATCCTGCAGCACACTGTGTATAATGAGAGAAAAAACTTAAATCATGATTTTTCGATTAAAACAGCAACTTTGCAGTGTTTTTTCGTATGTTTTTTATAGTTGTATTTGCGATTTCTTGGTCTCATTTGATAGAATGGAAGACATATTACAGAAATAGAGATGATTTTGATTGGTTTTAGCACTGGAAATAGCTTGAAACTGAGCTCAAAGTAGCGGAAATGTTTAAATTTTTGCCGATATTCAAGAGTAAACAAACGACCTCACACGTCTAATACACGTCAGCTGGTGGGTCTAATATACATTCACAAATATAGTGATGATATTTATACAATTATTACAGTATTGCATAACAGTAAATCTTCTAATTTTTGGTGTGAATAAAAATTCATTATGTGAATAAAAAATCAAAATGGAATTTATTTGTAAAGCCTCAAAACATAACTAATGAACAGAGGAAACGTTAGTTTAGTGCCAGGAATGCCTACATTATTTATTCTGGACCCTATTTTGAAATTGGAATATTTTGAACTTTGTGTTAAATTGGCCAAATTAACAATTTCCGATCACTTTATTTTGTAGTTGAAACAGTTGACTTGGCGATTTCTTGTGCTCAATCGATAGAATAGAAGTAATACTAGTGAAATAGCCAAGAATTTGGTTGATTGGAATAATGTAATTGCCTAAAATGGGAGTCAAAGTCGGCAAAATCGCCGATTCGTAAATGTCGCTGACACATCAAAATTCGCGAGAGCATAATTTCGTCAATTTTCCACCAAATTTCGTACTTTTTTTTTATTACCTTCACAAAAAGATTCTCTACGATTTCATAAGAAAAAATAACAAATTTTTTTTTTGAAAATTCTTGGACACTGGTGCGTGACTCCAGATTTGGGCCTTGGACCCTGAAAGGGTTAAGTTATGTATGAACTTAGGGTATTTATATTTTGAAGTGTTAAGATTTAGGTAATTGCAAGATCTTAATTTAAGTATTGAGTATTGAATACAGTGGTCACTCGTTTTTCGTAATTAATCCATTCCTGGAGCCATTACTATAAACGAAATTTACGATTTGCGAATCAATTTTCCCCATAAGAAATAATGTAAATACAATTAATCCGTTCCTGACACCCAGAAGTATTAAAACAAAAAATTTTTTACATCAAATATACATATATTACATAAACAATACAATGGGAAATGATGAATGAAACATTAATAGCATAACACTTACCTTAATTGGAGATTCTTCTTAGTGTATGGGAGACTGGAGGAGGAGAGAGATTGGATTGTTTACAGTTTGGAAGGGGAATCCCTTTCCAGCAACACCTCAGGTACCAATTGCTTCTCAGGGGTTGCTTCTCTTCTCTGTTTCTTAATGCCACTAGGACCACCTTGAGAGTCACTCTAGCCGTCTCGCAAAGTAACTGTGGAGAGAGCTCTGTTTCTGGTGTCTCTAACACTTCCCTAAAATGGCCCAAGACTTTGTCACTGTACATATTTATCACCTTCTTTACCACAGGCTTGGCACTAGGAGCTTTCTTTGGAGCCATGGTAGCTTATTTAGTAATTCCAAGCACTAAAATGAGTGGAATATTATGAAATATTTCGTAGGAGCACTTGAGGGGACCTTCACTCACTGGTAAACAATGCCAGACTGGCTGGGTAGGGAGGCCGCCCCGGCTCACACCACGCGTACGCGTCCCGGACAAACTACTATTCGCGAGTCAACCTATGAAAAGCGAGTCCATGTTTATACGAAAATACCCCTATGATTGGCGAAATTTACGACTGCCGAGAACTACGAAAAGCGAGGGACAACTGTATTTAGTTTAGGGTGAAGAGATGGTCTTTGAGAAGTCTTGATGTTCAGACCTGGTTACTTTAGTATTTACTGGTAATGAGTTCCAAATTTTGGGGCCCTTTATGTGCATCGAGTTCTTACATTGTGTGGTGTGGACACGGGGTACATAAAAAAGTGATCTGTGTCTTGTGTTATGGTAGTGCGTCCTGTTAAGGTTGGTGAGAAGTTTGAATGAAGGGTTTATATTCGAGTGTAGTGTTCTATGTATGTAGTAGGCACAAGAATAAGTATGGAAGTTCTTTACGGTGAGTAGTTTTAGATTTTTGAATATTGGTGGGGTATGCTGTCTGGAGTGGGAATTTGTTATTCTGACTGCAGCCTTTTGCTGGGTTATTGGTGGTTTTAGGTGATTTGATGTTATTGATTCCCATTCTCTCTCATTTACGATGGCATTTCAGAGTAGCTGTTAGAAATTATTAAACTCAGTGAACAAGGTATGTCAATGGTAATAATAATAATCGTTCTGGGGCACTTAAATTTAAGTCGTATATCTCGTGTAGGTATGGTAGCTGATGTGCGAGCTACCACACCTGACTTTCTACAATAAATACTTACCTCTCACCCTACAATAAGACTACATATATTTTTAGGTAAGTAATGAGTGTAGTGTGTATTTTATCTCTCTGGGCCATTTTAAATATCGCATATCACGTGTAGGTGTGGTAGCCAGGCAGGCTACCATACCTACCACACCTGACTTCCTACAATAAATACTACTCACCTCTCACCCTGAAGTATACCTGGATAGGGTTTCTACAAATATTTTAAGGCAAGTAATGAATGTACTGTGCATGTATTTTACTTAATTTTTTTTTTTTAATGCCTAGTTCTACTGTTAACTTGATGTGTGTTAGTGTAAACTTGTTATCTGGCATTTTCAAGTGGAAAAAATGACACTCCGCTTGACAGCAATTTCCACTTTACCACGGTAGCCTGAAACCTAACCTGCCCTTTGATTCAACAGGTCGGGAAAATATTGTATTTAGTCGCAGTCAAAAAAACTTTCATAAACACTAGTCTAAGGGGTATGAAGAAATGTACTGAAGATATCCCAGTTCTAAGCAGTAACAAAAATACAGCATAACAAAATCACTTTATCCATACTGGGTATCCAAGCCCCTTACAAAATTTAGTTCAAAAGTTACTTCTAATTTGTATTCCAAGTTTAAATATATCCATATTTTAACTTACCATTAGGGGATCTCCAGGATCAATTACAATTCCTCGATACCAAAGTCCATCTTCAGGGTAAAGGGCAAGGCAAGGAAGGCCCTTTCTAACCAAGTGATCCAGTGGCTTGAATATACTGTGTGTCTGAAGTTCTTCTTGCATAGCTTTTAATTCTTTTAGATTTTGCACCAACTGCAGATAAATAGTACCCGAGCCTTCATTAATGTATGAAATTACTGCTTTACACTTATCTGGGAGAACAGTTTCATCATACTGTACAGGTGCACTCAATAGTGACAAACTATTTAAGAATAATGACACGGTAGTTAAATCCTGATTGTATTTAATCACTCTGCCAATTAAAGGACAATCAGTGATAAGCCGTGAAAACTCTTCTGATATCTCACCATCAGGAATGTCGGGAAGCCCATACAAACAACATGTGTAGGTCAAAACAGGAATTTCTAGCAATTCTTCTGGCAGCAACCAAATTTCATCTGATGTTTTTGACAATGTAATACCAAAGTCAACACAGTACACTCTTACTTCCTGATTTTTTATCTTTAATACCAGTCCTCGATAAAGGTGATTCATGAATTCACACACTACAGTACCCCCTACCTTGGGATATACCTTAACTAGTCTTTTTGAATGCATGTACATCTGTAATTTATTGTTAACTTGTGTAAGCATCTCTCTCTGTTGCTCAAATTGTAAACAAAATCTCCATGGGCCTTTCTCAACATTCAATACAAAACATTGCTCATAAGAGTTCAAAGGGATTTTCATTATTGAATAGGTAAGAAATGGTGACTGTGCAGCAATTTTGTCAGCTTCAGAAGATATTTTTTCACTGGAAAATTTCAGACCTGAAAATTTTTCTGTTACAACATTACCAATAGCCAACAAAGTAACTATAAGTGGTACACCTTCTATATCTAAAGGGCTAATATAACTAACATTCTGATACATATCTCTGAAAACTGCTTCAACTTCCCTATTTTCAAGATTTGCTTGAAGCCAACTTATTTTATCAGAAGACCAGTTGTCTTCTACAGGATAAACATCTGCTAATATATACTGTTTATAGATAGCAGGGAATTTTCTTTCACTAAACTCTGCAGGACACTGATACAGATGTCTTAATTCTCGTATAACAGTTTTACCCTCGTCTACTAAAAAGACTGTCACAGCTTCATCAAGAAGGCCATGATCTGAAAAAAAAAAAATATATATATAAAATTAAAAATTATTTTTACTAGTAAACAATTACTAAAAATGGTTAAGTTGGCATATAGTATCTCATCCTGTACTGTAATAATTTCCGGATGATGCAGTGAAGTACAGCATACAAAATTATACATATCTAAGTATAAAAGTAAAATGCATACTTATTTACGAATACGATGGTCTTGCAACAATTCCACTAGTAGTTGTATGCTATAACTATTAGTGGAATTGGAATGAACAAAATGCTCTACATAACTAGGGGTTTTCTATAATATCACCTTTTCTGTAATTTATTTATTATTTTTTATTTGGACATGATACATAGGTGTACAAAGAAATATAGTGATTGGGTGTACATGCCAAAAGCCCCTTGTATGCAGAGCATTATGGGCAGGCTTAAAATTAACTTAATCTTAACTAAGCAATGATATATTCAGTGCTAAAAATTACAGTAAACAAATTACAGCATGAAGTACAAACAAGTATTTCAAATACGAAGCATTAAAGTTATACAAATTTGTAGCATAACAATGTATAATAATTGTAAACCATTCTTAAAAGAAACAAATTTTCATCTTTACCTTTTATGAAAATGAAAATGTTTATTTCCTTGCAAAGCTTACAATGTGTGGTTTACATGTTATAAAATACTGATTACAAAGAAGGCCACTAGCATGCCTAGGCATTTCAGGCAGACTAATCCTAATTCTTACTCTATATTGACAGGTTATGGAGCTGTACATTTTAACACATGGTGGACTGTCATTTTTCGTAATTAATCCATTCCAGAGTGTGACTATTATCAAAATTGACGATTTGCGAATCCATTCTCCCCATAAGAAATAGTACAGTGGACCCCCGGTATTCGATATTAATCCGTTCCTGAGAGCTCATCGAATACCGATAATATCGAAAACTGAATCAATTTTCCTCATAAGAAATAATGGAAATCAAATTAATCCGTGCAAGACACCCAAAAGTATGAAAAAAAACAAATTTTACTACATGAAATATTAAGTTTAATGCAATAGAATAATTGACACTTACCTTTAATGAAGATCTGGTGATGATTGATGGGATGGGAGGAGGAGAGAGGTGTTAGTGTTTAGAAGGGGAATCCCCTTCCATTAGGACTTGAGGTAGCAAGTCCTTTTCTGGGGTTACTTCCCTTCTTCTTGTAATGCCACTAGGACCAGCTTGAGAGTCACTGGGCTTCTGTCGCACAACATAACTGGCAGCCTCACCATGCCTAATCACACTATATATGCCACTACGATTCTTAAATCTTTCAAACCAACCTTTGCTGGCCTTAAATTCACTCACTTCACCACTAGTTGCAGGCAATTTCTTTACCAAATCGTCATGCAACTGCCTAGCCTTTTCACAAATGATAGCTTGAGAGATGCTATCTCCTGCTATCTGTTTTTCATTTATCCACACCAATAATCTCTCAACATTTTCTAACACTTGCAGTTGCTGTTTCGTAATCACAGTTGCACCTTTTGCAAGAACAGCTTCCTTGATTGCCGTTTTCCTGGTCACTATAGTAGAGATGGTTGATTGGGGTTTATTATACAACCTGACCAGCTCCGACACACGCACTCCACTTTCGTACTTTGCAATTATTTCTTTCTTCATTTCTTAAGTCATTAGCGACTTTTTTCTCGAAGGGTTGGCACTAGAAGCTTTCTTGGGGCCCATGGTGACTTATTTTGCAGAAACAAGCACCAAACACAGTGATAATATGGATAATATGGAATGTACCAAATGTATCCTTAGATGCACGCACACTGGCTGCCTTGTAAACACTGGCACACACGGGGCAGTTCTGGCCACACGTGGACAGGTCTGGTACGAATCGTATCGAATACTGGGTTTTCAATCGAATACCGAGGAAAATTTTTTGCAATATAATGCATTGAATACCAGATTTATCGAATACTGATGCCATCGAATACCGGGGGTCCACTGTAATATAAATCCAATTAATTCGTTCCAGACACCCAGAAGTATCAGCAAAAAAAAATTTTTTTACCCTTAAAGATAGATTTACAAAAGAATGAACATTCAACATGACAGTTACCTTTATTGAAGGCTGTTGTTGATGAATGGAAGGCAGGGAGGAGGAGAGAGGGAAGAGAGGTTATTGTTTGGAAGGGGAATCTCCCCTCCATAAGGACTAAGTCACTTCGGGGGTCACTTCCCTAGCTTAAATAGAGATTTACATGCAGAAAAAGAATGCTAAATACATGTAAATCACTAATAAAATGCATAAATGAACATTTAACATCACACTTACCTTTATTGAAGACATGCTGGTGTATGGTACATGGGGCAGAGGGAGGGGAGGCGAGTTTATTGTTGAAGACTAGACACTAATATCAACTCTACGGCTTATTTATCTATCACAATTCAACTAATATGACATAATAAACAATATTAATAACATAGAAACATGGAATATACTCTAGAATGAATAAAATAAGTCATTATGTATGTCACTAGAGGGGTTGTGTTGTTGTTGGGTGTATAAGGGCCACTGAGAGCATAAACCATCCATAATGGTGGTGAAGCAGCACCTGAGGTTGCGGCGTTTTCTGTAGCCCTGTATAACTCCAACAACATTGGAGAAGGTATGTAGTAATATTAAATGAAGAAGGAACCCTCTACTACCATCACAACCACTACCACCCTCTACCACAACTGTTACCACCATCTACCACTATCACAACTGCTATCTCACTACCACCACCACTTTCATATTTTTCTACAAACTTTTTCTTAAATTACATGTTTTTCTCATATTCTTTACCAAAGGGCTGCCACTAGCTTTCTTTGGGGCCATGGTGACTTATTTAGCAGTTCCAAGCACTAAAAATGAATGGAATATTATGAAATGTATCATATGAACTCGTGGGATCATCCTCACTCACTGATAAACAATGGCACACTGGCTAGGAAGGAGTGTGAGGCGGCTCGGGGCCGTGTGTACATGTCCCAGACGAACGACTATTTGCGAGTCAATGTTATGATGAAAAAACGTTACGATTTCTGAAAATAATGACTTTCGAGCCTTACGAAAAACGAAGGTCCACTGTATATTGTTGCATGCTGATATAAAAGTTAGGTAACTGAAGTGATTAATTAGATTTATAATAGTGAGGTATTACAAAACATTTAATAGTATTACAATTGGTAAATACAGAAATAGGAATGGTTTTATCCTGGCACGATACACTGTTTCTATTAAAGCCCCTATACTGGGAGAGTATCTTAGGCAAACTTAGGACTAACTTAAGATTTATTAGGCAATAGCTGTATTAGGAATTTTGTTTAGTCATTTGGGTGAGTAAGTGCAAATTAGGGGGACTTACAGATAACGAGAATAAGTGGTTTTCATTTAGTTAGCTGATGCTGGGGTGTGTTAGGGAGATTTTTTCATCCTTAACCCTTTCAGGGTCCAAGGCCCAAATCTGGAGTCAGGGCACCAGTGTCGAAGAATTTTCAAAAAAAAAATTTGTTATTTTTTCTTATGAAATTGTAGAGAATCTTTTTGTGAAGGTAATAAAACAAAAAGTACGAAATTTGGTGGAAAATTGACGAAATTATGCTCTCGTGAATTTTGATGTGTCAGCGATATTTACGAATCGGCGATTTTACCGACTTTGACTCCTATTTTAGGCCAATTACATTATTCCAATCAACCAAATTCTTAGCTATTTCACTAGTATTACTTCTATTCTATCGATAGAGCACAAGAAATCGCCAAGTCAACTGTTTCAACTACAAAATAAAGTGATCGGAAATTGTTAATTTGGCCAATTTAACACAAAGTTCAAAATATTCCAATTTCAAAATAGGGTCCAGAATGAACAATGTAGGCATTCCTGGCACTAAACTAACATTTCCTCTGTTCATTAGTTATGTTTTGAGGCTTTACAAATAAATTCCATTTTGATTTTTTATTCACATAATGAATTTTTATTCAGACCAAAAAATAGAAGATTTACTGTTATGCAATACTGTAATAATTGTATAAATATCATCACCATATTTGTGAATGTATATTAGACCCACCAGCTGACGTGTATTAGACATGTGAGGTCGTTTGTTTACTCTTGAATATCGGCAAAAATTTAACATTTCTGCTACTTTGAGCTCAGTTTCAAGCCATTTCCAGTGCTAAAACCAATCAAAATCATCTCTATTTCTGTAATATGTCTTCCATTCTATCAAATGAGACCAAGAAATCGCAAATACAACTATAAAAAACATACGAAAAAACACTGCAAAGTTGCTGTTTTAACCCTTTGAGGGTCGACAGGCCCTCTCCGAAACTCGTTCTCAGGGTTGGCCAAATTTCAAAAAAAAAAAAAATTATTTTTTCTTATGAAAAAATAGTTTTTTTTCTAAACATTATAGGATAAACAAAAAAAATTTACCATCAATACTTACGGAGATATGGATGCATGAAGTTTGCAGAAAATGAGCCGCGTATGGCAACAGCGGTGACTGCCGCTCACCCGGTAAACTTTAGTTTACTTGTATTTGAAGGTTTGTTGTTTTCACTATTTTATTTTTTCACATAACTTATGTGGCCTATGAGACCAAAGTAAGGTGCAACGTACATATATACACTCGTTGTATACAACACAATAAGCACACAAACATAATTATCAATATATTGTTTACAAAACTTGTTTACAAAAACAAACAATACAAAACAGTTTATTATTATTGTTCTATAATATATATACCAATATACAGTCACTGAACATATTCCTATTAGTTCTGCAGCTTGTGGAACTCTGAAACATGGTGTCATACACAATGGTGTTTTATCTTTCTCCCTCATTCTATCTCTTTCAATCTGTCTCTCTCTTTCTATCTGTCTGTCTATCTCTGATTCACAGGTACACATAAATACAAGTATACATAGTATAAATTACCTAGGATAACCCAAGAAATCCAGACAAAGTGCTAT